GAATCCCGTCGACGGCACTATCATCCAATATGCACTTCTTTCTAGTAAGTCAAGCTTTTCTCATATCGACACACACTCTGCTGGCCAATAGACAATGAAACCTTAGCTAGTAATTAAAAATACCCCCAAAAAATCTTTTTAAAAGTAAATTTTTAAAGAAAGAAAAAGCGCGTTTATTTGCGTCTAGGAAAAACGCGTTTAGGCGCGTCTTGGAAAAACGCGTTTTAAACGCTAGCAAATGGTGCATTTTCGGAGCTATTAAACGCAGCAAAAAACGCGTTTTCAGACGCGTCTGGGATTGAAAAATATTTGGTTTAAGCTTTATTTCAAGTAAGAAAGAGACAACTGATCCACCTACCCCGAAGCGGAAGCCCATTATATCAGATGCAGGTGGATTAGTCCTTGAATAGCGAGAATAGTAATAATAATAAAAAATAAAATAAAAATGAAAAAAATAAAAATAAAAATAGAAATATGTATGTGTATATATATGTCATCAAAGAAAAATTGTAGCTTACAAGGTTAATAAAGTAGAAAAACAAAAAATATTTACATGGGTGCATGGAATTATAATCAATTTCCTTCAAAAGAATGACTAGCTAAAACTTGTTAAGGAATATGTCATTAAATATCGTTAAACTATATCGCTTATTATATAATATAGGTGCTTCTTTGTGACTGAAGTACTTCTCAAATAAGTTCTAACTTGAGGATTCGATGTGTAACACCCTCTCCCATCTTTAAGTCTTTAATAGAAAATCTATGTTTTTTATCCAAATGATCACTCAAAAAATTCCTCCAATTACAATTCTAATCGAAGCAAATGGTCTTATTAGCTTTTCTTAGGAGCATCACTGTAGCTATTCTCATTCATCTACAATCGATGACCAAAATTAGTGCAAACTTGTAACATTCATTTAATACGAACTTCTCTCAAATGACAGGCATGATAATCAAGTAATCAAATTCGAGATGTTATCTGTCTTGTACTTTTCATCGTGATATTTCTTTTGACAACCCAACTTGACATCTTCTTATTTACTTCAGAGCCAATCAGTATTCTGATGTTTCATTTTTATGCTAAGTAATATTTATTATGACCTTTCTTTATGTTTAGAATTTATATCTTTTATCGAAGACATTGCAAATATTTATATTAAACAAGGCAATTTTGGGATGGCATTTAACTCATATCAGTATGCAATCAAATGCTATATAAATACGTTTCACCATGAATAATACACACAATATATTTGATCCTATTATGTCTTGTTACGGACATATTGAAATACTTCTGGACAAATATGATAATCTTAAACCTAGACGAAATAGTCAAAGTATCATATGAGCAACACCCGTTTCTTCTGTGCCTATTACATTTTCCGACAACAAACAGTTGCGCGTTGACTTCTCTGGCTAATTTGAAAATTATCGAAAAACACTATTCCAATGTAACTGTACGATGCAAAAAATACACTAATCCATTAAATAAACAGATTCTTTAAAAATACCAGACATTAACCAAAGACAATAATAAAATCTGCTGATGATGAAAAACAGAAAAAAAATAGATCTGATCATGATCAGAGACAAAACAGAATATCACAAAATGGTGGAAGACAAAAAGATTTGATGATGAGATAGGAAAATCATCATCAATTGTCATTTAATGTATTTTTTGAGCATCAACAATTTTTTTCAGTTCAGACAAATATTCACCGAATGAAATGTCACCTTGGTCGAACTTGAGACGCAACTCATCCAGTTGTGATAAAATTTGAGCTTCTGTGTTCTATAAAAAGAAAAAACAGATGTGAATATTAGTAAAGATGAAAACATGCATTTCAGATATATACCTCTTTCTCAGCCATTCTGTCCGTTACTATTTCTTCTTAACTATGTGAACGACTGACAATTAGAATGGGGACGAAAGAAAAAAGTGAATATATATTTATAGAACATTCACAAGTGGCCGTCAACTCAGTTCATAAGAAAAAGAAAAGAAATTTCATTATTTGAATGCGTTTCTCGCCTACATCATTAGACAGTGTGAAATCAAAAAGAAAACTGTTAATTAGAAGATGTGATTATCACTCTTTGAAGAAGAAAACATTTTTTCGAACCTTGTTGATAGTATCACTAAGTTGAGCATTAAAATTAGTAACACTTGTTCGATGAGTAGAACTTTGATCATCATCATCCTACAATACAAAAATATAGGAACATGAAGTCAAAGTGGCCTCTATACAGTCAGAGATTTGATTAAAATTCTCCAGGGTTGTTCAACTTCTATTACCTCTTCATCAAGATTATCAAGAGCATTATCTAGTGCTGCTGCAGATGCCAAACTCTGTTCATGTTTTACTTGCCGAATTTCTCTTCGACTCTGAACTACAGAAAATCTCTGTTACATTGTTTCGTAATCTTGCTTAGCAAACACTAGCGAGAATCATTAAAGCACATCCTGAGTTCAACATAACATGTGGAATATAAGTGATTCCATACGTGTAAAGTTCGAAGATTCACTCAGACTTCTCAGAAGTCTGAAAAGTCTAACAAACGAGAAAATTCAGACACCTATATTCGATTTTAGTTAGACTTTTAGACTTTCATTTTTCATACAAAATTAGACTTTCAGAATATTAGACTTTTGTTAGACTATTAGACTTTTCATTTTTCATAGAAATCAGACTTTTGTTAGGCTTTTAGACTTTTCATTTTTCATACAAATTATACTTTCAGACTTCCAGACTATTAGACTTTTCTCAGACTATAAGACTTTTGTTAGACTATTAGACTTTTCTTGGACTTTCTGACTTTTGTCAGACTTTTAGACTTTTCATTTTTCATAGAAATTACACTATCAGAATATTCGACTTTTCTTAGACTAGAGTAAACTCGGGCAATTGGAAACCATTTTATGCTCTTTGGACTTCAAATTCGTATTACTTTGTTAATATCAATTATCCTCTTGGGCTCTTTTTACAGATAGGTAGAGGAGGAAGTTTTCTATAAGCCCGACTTTCAGACTATTAGACTTTTGTTAGACTATGCGACTTTTCATTTTTCATAGAAATTAGACTTTCAGACTATTAGACTTTTCTTAGACTATTAAACTTTTACCAGACTACTAGACTTTTGCTAGACTATTAGACTCTTCATTTTTTAACAATACCGCAAAAACAAGAATTCAATAGTTTTCTGCTTCCTTTCCATTAACCGAAACGTCTAATAGTCTAACAAAAGTCTAATACTCTAACAAAAGTTTAATAGTTAGTCTAACAAAACTCCAACAGTCTGAAAGTCTGAAAGTCTAACTCACACATTAAATGAAAAGTCTAATAGTAGTCTAATAGTCTAACAAAAGTCTAAAAGTCTGAAATTCTAACTCGCGCATTAAACGAAAAGTCTAATAGTAGTCCAATACTCTAACAAAAGTCTAATAGTCTAAGAAAAGACTAAAAGTCTAACAGAAGTCTAATAGTTAGTCTAACAAAAGTCGAAAAGTCTGAAAGTCTAACTGATACATTCCGTGAAAAGTCTAATAGTCTAACAAATGTCTGAAAGGCTAACTCATACATTGAATGAAAAGTCTAAAACTACTCTAATAGTCCAACAAAAGTCTAAAAGTCTGAAAGTCTAACTCGTGCATTAAATGAGAAGTCTAAAAGTCAAACAGAAGTCTATGAGTTAGTCTAACAAAAGTCTAAAAGTCTAAAAGTCTGAAAGTCTAACTCGTGCATTAAATGAGAAGTCTAAAAGTCAAACAGAAGTCTATGAGTTAGTCTAACGAAAGTCTAAAAGTCTGAAAGTCTAACTCATGCATTAAACGAAAAGCCTAATAGTCTAATAGACGTGTAATAGTCTAACAAAAGTCTAATAGTTAGTCTAACAAAAGTCTAAAAGTCTAACTCATACATTAAATGAAAAGTCTAATAGTAGTCTAATAGTCTAGCAAGAGTCTAATAGTCTGAAAGTCTGCCTCATGCATTAAATGAAAAGTCTAATAGTCTAAGAAAAGACTAAAAGTCTAACAGAAGTCTAACAGTTAGTCTGACAAAAGTGTAAAAGTCTAACTGATACATTCGGTGAAAAGTCTAATGGTCTAACAAATGTCTGAAAGTCTAATTCATACATTGAATGAAAAGTGTAATAGTCTAACAAAAGTCTAAAAGTCTTAAAGTGTAACTCATACATTATATGAAAAGTCTAAGAGTCTAACAGAAGTTTAATAGTCTGACTAAATTCTATAAGTCTAAAAGTCTGAGGGAGTGTTAAAAGTCGATGTGAATCTTCGACCTCTAGACTACTCAGTGACTGGAACAAACTTTATCGTGGTGAAATTAGCTTCTGTTTCGCCTAGTGCCACTTGAACTCAGCTATATCATATCATGCATCTCGCCTATCGAATACAATTCACGTTACAACCATGTAGCCGCTGATACTGCCTCTTATGTTACTTTGTTGCTAGAGTGAATCTAGTATTCTGTACACGATGGGAGTGCTATCCGGTTTCTCTCTGCTTTCCTTCTACACGAGAACATAGATGTCAGTTGAGAGACTGGAATACAGAACTTTGCAACCTATGAGAATTTTCGGACAGAACCAGGACGTTGAGAATTATGAGAACATTGAAATTTTAATATGAGTATTAAGCTTCCCGTTGAACTTAACTTGGTTCTATTCACACGTACAAATATAACATCTGAAGGCTACCGTCAATTAGTCTTACTTTCGAGCAAGTATTTACACAACGTGAGACAGAGCAGCAGCGTGAGTGTGAGTCATAAAGTAATACTTCATATTCACTACTAATATAAATATATTATTCAGCACTTGTAGTGTGATTCTTGGTTTTTCTTGAAGCTGTGTCTTGAGAAAAAGTGAAAAATAAATATGAATTAAGATGGTGCACAGGTCTGGTTCAGGCACTTTTTACCAACCTCATAAAAACGATGTGTATACGGTCTTCGTTGTCGCACTCCATAAACAACTGCGTATTTCACCTGAACAATACAATAAACGCTCGTTTGCCGTGTGCGCACATTCGAATGTTGGTATGTGATCAGGGTTTCCGATTAGGGTGGAAGACCTCCCAACCCTACATTTTGACACTATCGGCCAGACTTTTGG